CAAACCCTTTTCTATGCCAGGGGTCGTACTGACAATCAGCTTTTCTTGCCAACTCGGACAACAATAATTTCAATTCCTCCTGCCACAGGATGCCGTTGGCTGTGGAATTTTGGGCCGCTTGTGAAGCCTTTTCTAAGCAACATCAATTTGATGAACCCTTTTACCCAAGGCAGAGATTTTTTTTATCCCGAGCTATACTGGAGGTTAAAAAATATTTGTTTTTGGTTTATTTAATAATTCGTTTTCTAGGTTTGAAGATGAAGAGGGATGGGTGTAGGCCGACTAACATTTTTTATTATGACTTTCTTATGGCTGTTGCAATTCTTTAAACGAGTTGGAGTTTATGTTTGAAGAAGTGTAGTTTCTCAAACCAATGGTGTCCTTGAGAGAAGATGAGGTGCGAAGGGCCTAATTAGGAGCTTCATTAGTTTTGTGGACATTGTGAAGTTATTTTGTTGTATTACTTTTGTTGCGATATTGAATACTTTTGCTAAGTTAAATATATATATATATATATATATATGTGTGTGTGTGTTTTTTTTTAAGTTTTCTGTTGACTGTGTAGTAGGTAAACTTAATAATTAGATATTAGGTTAATGAGGTATTGTCACATCTGTACGTGTTTGACCAAAATGTCTTCACATGCAAGGGTTTTGATGGTCCAAGTACATTTACACCAGCCATTTCTCATGCACTTTTTCATTGGTTGTGCATTAATTTATTCCATTAATGCTACCTAATGAGCTTATATGGTTGTTTTATTTGAATAATTGAAGATATTTCATAATTATAGTTTTGCTGTGAAGTCAACAATTAGTTCCATAACAGTGTTGTATTTGATTGTCGTTTTCCCATGCGAGTGCGGGTTGCTTTTATTTACTTTACGACTTCATCATTTCATGGATTTATCTACTTAAAACTTGTAAGAATCTTCATAAAAACTTATTGATCATGTTCATTACAAGGGAGGAGAATAGTGGGTCAACAGCTTAACCGTTACAAGAGAATATTGGAAGATTAATGATTTTATACTTTGCCATTAAATTATCAAACATCTAAATATTTGAGTATGTTTCTGGGATATCATGAGGTACAACTGCTGAATTCTTCCTTGGTTGCCAAAGCTTGAAAGATTATACCAACTAGATGTATATGAATTTGTATATTACCTTAAAATAGTATCATATTAAATTTATTTTTTAGGCCACCGAACAAATCTTGAAATTATCTTTAGCATTCAATTCAGTCAACCTGCTGACCAAATGAATCTTTTTTCCTTAACTATGTATAACTTTATTAAATAAAAATAATCTATGATTCATGTAATAATAGCATTATTTAAAAATAAAATAAAATTAGTTAATAGATTATACAATTGACACGATGATGCAATTATGATGCAAATAACAACATGCATCACTACTGAACCGAGATATACGTTTTATATTAATTAACGTTTTGTACTTTATTCATAATCTATTAATAGGTATAATATTATAACGACGAAAGTGCATAAAAAAAAAAAAATCATATTCTCATTTTACACATAACAAAATGTATAATCAGCCTCCCAAATACAGTTACTCCAAATGGGGTAACTATTGAATTTAATAAAATCGTACAAAATTGAACAAATGGTTTAGCAAAGGTCAACACATATCATCAAGGGTAACTCCATCAAGGATCAAACTATCTTCACAAAATCCGGTTAATTCTTGCAACGTCCAGTACACTTGGCGGCATTCCGGGTGCGAATGGTCACTCGCGTTAAAAGCATGAACATTGTGCCCTAACTCGATCCAACTCCAACCGGGCACCTTCTTCACTCCCTTTTCCCTCATCAGCCTCTTCACGCTCGCTTTCTCATCCCACCTTCTCAGATTTCCATACATATCTGATAACAGAATATACGTACAGTGATCTCCCGGATCCATTTCAAGCAGCCGGCCACCAATCTTGGTAGCCAATCGTATGTCGCCACACGCCCTACAAGCCCCAAGTAATGTTTTCCACACCATCACACAATCAGGCTCGAAAGCCATTTCACGAACAAGTTCCTCTGCTTCCATGAGTCGACCCGCCCGCCCGAGCAAGTCAACCGCACACGCGTAATTTTCCATTCGGGCCGCGATTTTATAATCCTTTTCCATGGATTTTAGGATTTCAAGACCTTCATCTACCAAACCCACGTGGCTACATGCAGTGAGAGCAGCAACGAATGTGATATGGTCGACCCTCACTTTCCTCTCAACCATTAGGTAAAAAAAGTCGAGCGCGACTCTGCCTTGCCCGTGCTGAGCGTACGCGAAAATAATCGAGTTCCAAGTCACGGAGGTTTCCATGCGCGACGTCTCGAAGGATTTCGAGCAGTCTTCGAGAATCCCGCATTTCGAGTACATGAATATCAAAGCACTCGCGACGTATTCGTTCCACTCGAGGCCCGATTTTATCACGAGAACGTGAACCTGCTGGCCGAGTAAGAGAGTGGCTAAATCCGAGCAAGACCTCAAGACGGCTGCAAATGCGTATTGTTCAATCGCCATGTCATCAATGTGCATCTTTTGGAAAACCTTCATGCAAGTCTCGCTCATCCCCTTTTGCGACAGCCCGGTTAAAATCGTATTCCAAGACACAACATCCTTTGTGTCCATTTTATCGAACACCTTCAGTGCATCCTCTACGGCTTGCCCATTATTACACTTCAAGTACATGGAAATCAACACATTGGAAATTTGTACCAACCGATCTAAACCCAACTTGATCACCGAACAGTGCAAGGATTTCCCGAGCCCCAACTGTAAATCTCCCGAGCAAGCGCTTATCATGCTGGAATATGTATAAGCGTCCATCTTCAACCCCAACCTCACCATCTCCAAGAAAACACCGAACCCACTCCCGTCCGAGCTTCCGCCCTCCAAATAGGCTGCCAGCATGGCATTCCACGTCACCAAATCCCGATACCCATCCGAACCATCAAACACTCTCTTTGCATCATCAACACATCCAGACTCTGCATATGCAGTGATCAAGGCATTGAGCACGGTATTCTCGAGCTCGAGGCCACGTTTTGTAATCTTCCCATGAAGCTGCCTCACCAGGCCGTAAAAACGGACCTCGCGAAGCAAGGTCAAAATCGGCGCAAATGTCGCATCATCCGGCCCCACGTCCTCAATCTCCATGAATGAGAGAAGCTCGAGACAACGAACGAGATTCCCGGCCTCTACATACCCCGAGATCAGAGAATTCCAAGAGATTCTGTTCGGGGTCGGTAAGCTCCTGAACACCAGATCTGCATCCTCGACCCTGCCGCACTTTGCATACACGTCCAGTAAAGCACTCGCAGCGTGTACATTGCTGCAATAGCCTTCCTTTATTATATCTGAGTGGATTTGCCGGCAGCAGATGAGGCAGGACCTGGCGGCGACCCCCTTGAGCGTGCTGGCGAGGGTGTGGCCGTCTGGCGAAAGTCCTTGCTTTCGCATGGAATTGAGGGTTTCCCAGGCACGGGGAAAGTCGCCGGAGCTGACATAAGCGGCGATGATGGTGTTCCAGGAGATGATGTCGCGATGGGGCATATCGTCAAACAGTTTGAGGGCGGATGTGAGGTCGCGGCATTTGGAGTAGCGGCTGATGAGGTTGTTGGAAGCGTAGGTGTCGGCAGTGAGGGAGAGTTTGATGGCTTGGCAGTGGTGGGCGGCGAGCTCGGATAGGGTAGTTTTGTTGAGCAGGTGCAGCGGCTTCATTCATTCATCGGAAGCGATTTGTAGGATGCTACAGAGAAATTGGGGCGAGATCGCAATTTATTTTTCAAAATATCTTACAGTCATTGTATAACTCCTCTAGATCGAATAAAAAGGCTCAACAAAATTGAACAAAAACAAGGCCAGAATCAATACACATGTATTCCTTTTTCTTTTCAAAGTTAAGCCACTTTAAGCATGCCTTTGAAGATGAGATTTAAACACAAGATCACATAAAACCGCATGGTATGAACATCAACATACAAGATAACACAAAAGCCCAACAGTATGCTCAAATCCTACCTTTAAATATCAACAATGTTAAAGCATGCTTTTAACCTTTTTCAAATATTTAAATAAACTCAAGAGATATATTAATAACTCTACTAACTGCACTTTAACACTTCCAAAAATACCTACTTTCAGCACAAAATTGACATACAATAGCAGCCTCCAAACAACAATATAAGCAAGCAATTTACATGTAAACAAACTCTCTTTTTACCTTAAATTTAACCAGTCTTGCAAATAATTCTGAGGCTGCATTTTAACACTTCTAACACAACCCAACACTAAAATTTATCAACAATGAAGAATGGGAATTTGCATTATCTCAGCTGCCAATAAACATACATAAGCAAGGCAAAAACTCGGTTTTTAACAACTCTATGCTTAATAAGGCTAACAAATCTAAATATAAACACTTTAATAGCATATGATTTTAACACATAGGCTCCTGCCAACAGTCTCGAATTAATAAACACAAAACAAGGCACAATTAGCATATAATCCAAGCACCTCTTACTTTCAAAAACTTAACCAACTTGAGCTAAATAATAAGGCTTTAAGTCAGATCGTAAAAACCCATTTTTATCATATAAAACCAGCACATTATCAGCACCCAATAACACCTCTATAACAGCCCCTTATCAGCCTACTCAAACAAGGTTATAACCACAAAATCATGACCAAAAGAAGGGCTAAGGCTCAGCCAAATTACCATGAAAAACGGAGAAAGAAAGGAGCTTGGTTTGGATGGTTTTCGGCTCGGCTTAGCGGCTCCAGCTCGGCACTTGCTGCGAGCTCCCGGCCCTCCTCTGTTCGTCGGTAGTCCTTAGTAGTCGGAACTCGCTACTCACGGTCGTCTAGAACTCACCGGGAATCCGACGGTTCGACTCACTGGAAAGCTTGGCGAGGTCGGACGATGGACGCCGGTTAGAGCTTCGGTCACCGGTCGCAGGTCGAGGACGTGGCTGGAAATCAGAGGTCTTGGCCGCTGTCGGAGGACGGGGCTAAACAAAGCTCGGTCGTCAAGAGTTCGAAATCGCTGGACATTAGTCGGGGCTCGGGAACAGTCGCGGCCCGACGGGAATCGAGGCCCGAAGTTGCTGGAGGCCTGGCCTCCTCGGACGTTGGTCTCGTCGCAGGTCGGAGTGCTTCAGTCGGAGAACGAAACTCGCCTCGCTGAGGTCGCTCGACGTCGCTGGATAAAGCTCGTTCTCGGAACCCGCTCAGTCGCTGCGATGGACGGAATACGAATGGCTCGGGTACTGTCTTGGCGAGGCGAAAGGTGGCTGCAGGCTCGCTGATTGAACGCCGGTGGGACCGCTCTCGGTGAAGGTCGGGGTGCGGGAACACCGACGATAGGGGGGGTCTCCTCGACGGGGTGCGGTTGAGAGAGAAAGAGAGGGCTCGCTTTCTGTTACACGAGGTGGTCGCCGGAAAGATTAGAGCTTCAAGTCGCCGTGTTTGTGTTTGAAATTCGCTGAGGAAGAAGATGAATGTGAGGGGTGCGGTTGGGAGAAATCACGAGTCTTGTAACTTGTACGGGTTTGGGGAATTTTATGGGTCCAAACTCTTTTGAGTTAACTGGGCCGAAAAGAGATGCATTTGGGCCGATTTAATTTACTCTCAAACGGACCGAATTTATTAATCCAAGGATCGGTTTATAAGCTCAAATGGACCGAAAAATTACGACAATTATAAATTGTAATGTCCCGATACGAAATCTCGAAAATGGGCAAATGAAGACGACTTTATGCGATTAAGCCAAAAATCGTCGGAACAATTTAATCTACTAACTGACATAAATCCTAATATATCTAATACATATAAATAATAAATAAACACATAATAATCACAGACATAAAGTCACTTAGCAATTTAATAATAAACAAACATTTAATACAAGCAAAGACGAGCAGTAAATAACAATAATCAGGCAAAATATAAACAAAGGAATAAATCAAATAAAATCAATTAAATAATTAAATAATATTCAAAATTTCTAATAAACGAACGGGGCGCTACATTAGTTCTATCTTATTGCTAAGTTAGTTATAAGTAGTTGCTAGGTTAGTTGCCTGTTGTTGCTAGGTTAGTTTTTTGTTGTTGATAGGGTAGTTCTCTGTAGTTGCTAAGTTAGTAGTTGCTAGGTTAGTTCTCTGTAGTTGCTAGGCTAGTAGTAATTAGATTAGTTCTCTGTAGTTGCTAGGTTAGTTCTCTGTAGTTGCTAGGTTAGTTGTCTGTAGTTGCTAAGAGCTGGTCTCATTTTAAGAGCTGGGCGCATTTTTAGAGCTGGTCTCATTTGATCCGCCCATATATATATATATATATATATATATATATACTAGTTGGGTCACGCCGTGCACGCACGGCGACTCAAATTTAGTCTAAAAATACAGTGAAAATTTTTCATTAGTTGTAATGATCAATCAAGTTCATGTCCGTTGTTTTACACTGGTTGTTAACAAAATAAACTTTCACCATAAAAGGCTCATTACACAGCACAATTGTTGAAGTTCAATTGTTGAAGTTCAGTTGGTACAACTCTCTACATATATTATGCTTCTACATATATTATGCCCGTTAAGTTGACATGGTCTCAAATAAATCAATAGTGTTTGAAAAGAGGCGATGCTTTTAAAATTTTGGTATGCATTGGAAGTTTGTCGTCTGTCGACTCAAATTTAGTCTATAATGGAGGCTAAATTAGTTGTACATTGAAATTATCATTCTATAAACCGAACAACCAACATATCAAAAACAAATTATACTTCAAGGCTTCATTCTTCATTCTTGAATGAGATGATAGAAACAATACTCAATATATCGCAAAAACTGGAAGGATGCATATGAACTGCCCAGAACCCTTTGGTAGTGAGTCACTTCACACTAAGACTCGACTGGAACAAAGTCAATATCAAAACCTTAGTATGACTTCACTTGGCTTCGTTCGTATGCATCGAACGCGTGGAAGGTAGGCGAGCTAGGTTCACTCGCTGTAGGTCGGACTGATTCATCTGTTCTTCTTCTTCAGTGTCGTCAGACTTAATGTTTTGGGGTTGAGAGTGGCTTCGTAGCTCCCCACTATCTCCATCTTCACTAAGCACCGCCAATGCTGGTGAATCCTGTGCAACACAACCATGAAATTTGAAATCCCAAGTCTTTAGAAGTTGAACCATTTTTTTTAGAATTGTTATAACACAATTTCTTTCAACTCCAACGAAAATGAAAGTTTTTGTTCCAAGTGTCTCAAGATTAAGCGAGGTTAAACAAAAACATTTCTGATACATAACATTTCTGACACAAAAGAAGCATCTGAAGATTATTTGATCTAAAAGATAAACCATTACTGACATAAATATATTTCATAACAATTTTGTATCTAAATCAGTACACACACCTTAATTACTACAAAGAAAATATAAAAAAGTACTAATAAACACATAAGCATGTAATAACACTTAAATGACAAAAATATATTTCCTTGTGATTTAAACCAAAGATGAAGACATTAATTTTGAAGAAGCTAACCTCACAGTAGAACTCGATCACTTGACAGAGGAAATTCATCGTGTCATTTGGTTGGCCGCAATACATATTTTAAATGGCTGTGCAACGGCTATAGTGGTGAGAGATGAACCGTTGTTCCGTTACACTGCAATCTGCGCCGCCTAATCTGCCGAAAATGTCAGTCATTGCCCCATTGTGCCACTATTTAGAAAATGAAGGCATCCCTTCCATCACAATCGATAGTCAAAATGGATAGAATTAGCGTAAATTGGTCATCACATTTAGTTGTACTCAAAACTCAATCCAATACATCTGCATAGATTTAGGTTTGTTTATTGGATTATATAAAACATATAAAATCAGAATTGATGAATAATGCTATCATATTAAGAAAATTGCATTTTATCCTTAAGAAAAAATATTAAAGGAAATAGGTGCAAGAACAATACTATTATTTGAAAGATACTAATCACTGCAAACTTTTCTTATCCTTTTAAAACATTCCATTAAGCATCTACCTTTCATAACCAAGACAAAGGAACACAATTATATCATTGAGGAACCATTCAGATGCTGAACCAGACAAACTCAACGAAAAAAAGTATTGCAGCTACCTTATATTCAGTCAAAAGACTTTGCAGTCAGTTGGGTGATAACCAATGTTCATCCAAATTCATTCATTGTCAACCATAATAATTGATCCCCAGAATTCAGAACTCACAACAAAATACAATAATTCCCATATAAACAAATAAAACAAAATTTAGAAAGCTGGGATAACAATACAAAAAAATGCTTACAGAGCTGAAGCATTTGAGAGGCGGTAATTAGAAGCGGTGTCTGGCTTCAAGCAACCACATTCGGATATCCTTTGAGATGAACAATAATGCCGTTTTCCTTTCTGTATGGACTGCAGGCCTAAATTCCTTAAACAACTGATAACCTCACCCCTCAAAACTCCACAAAAAATTCAAAGAATGATATCGTACAAATCATAGCAAACCTTCAGGCTCAACTTCCATAGTCACTCGGATCTCGTCCTCGAATACTGTGAAACCAGGTACCCTTAAAAAAATTCCAAAACTGTGTTCTTGAGGTCCTCAACCGAGTACTTGATGTAATCTCAGGGTGCATCCCACTCTCGATATGACTTCTGAACCTCCCCAGAAATGATCTATAGGCTGGGATGATCAGCTACGATATGGAAATCCTCAGCTCCTCACGAAGCTGAGTATTGGTTATCAGCCACGTCGCCTGTGTTTTATGTACCTCCTCAAACATGGCCTTGAAAGCCTTGAATCTCTCTCTTAAACCACTTTTTGACACACCAGAGGAAAAGCTTCCTTTCACGTGCAGAGCCTCATCCATCAAGCAGTACAATACCCTCACCCAGGCCGCTCGCTGGTAGTTGGTGGCAGAAACCCGGAATTTCCAAGTTAGATTTTTCAAATAATTGTCCCCTATCATCTTCCTCAGCTCAGGTGACCCTTTAATCTTCTGAACTATATAATGGACGTTATTCATCATAAACAAATGAGCCAAGGAAGCATCTCCATAGTGTTTAGACTTGCCGTCCAAATTGAACTGCAAAATAACAATAATCCACATCAAATGAAGGGCCAATGTCGATGTCTGACTTTCAAATTTGCACGTTGGGATCGCTCAAATATCTTTACCCAGCCGAGGGTTTGGACACAATCAATTCATTCAGGGTCTGTTTATAGTCCAAGAACAGACTAATGTAATTCATCACATATCTAGTCCAGGGATGAATTTTTCCTCTCGGAACAGGAACCTTCGAAGGCTCGTGAAGCACGGCATTCTCAAATTCCGAAATATACCTCGTATGGCCTCGACTAACCTAGACAATAGCTCCACTGACTGTACTCCAATCGCTCACTCGATTTGGAATCAAAGACTGCCTCGATGTCAGGCAACAAATCAGACAGAGCATCGTGTAAGTCCAGTATCTTCAGCAATTTTTTCCGTGAACGCCTGCTGATACTGATGGCCTCTGCAAAATTTAACAGCTGAATAGCAGGACCTTTAATGGTCTCCATGAAACACGCATCGTCGGCGGAGTTGCCCAGACCCTCGAATATCTGCTCGCAGAGCCTCCTCTCGCTGGGGAACAGCACGCGGACGGTCGCGCCGTACATGCCACCGACAGCTTCAATTCCGTCAACCACCATCACCCTCTGCATCATCAAATCCACCAAGATTAGTGAACCCATTTCCCCTATGCAATTTCATCTCTAAATTGGAACTGGAAAAAATCTGAGATTACCTACCACTGGGGAAAAGAAACATACGGCGAGCATCAATTTTATGTATTTCAGACATCAAAGAGAGAGGTCACGCAAGCTCTATAACTCTCTGAGGAAGTCGATCTTCCATCAATTTAGGGCTATCAACGTAGGGACAAAATCAAATGCCATTTTCACGAAGCAAAGCAAAAACCAAAAAATTACTGTCCAAGAATGAAACAGCAACAAAATTAACACACAACTTGATTCTGAAAAAACTTACTGTCCAAGGAGAAAGCATCGCGACTGCCGCCAAATTCGTCGTCGTCGCCGTCCCTCCACCACGAGAATAATGAAATTCGCCTATCCAACACCCATCTATATGTTACAAAGATTGTTGAAATAAGAGAAAAAAATGTTTGGTTATTGTTAATTGGAATATGTGAGTTGGGGGAAGGGAAGAAGTGATCAGGAAAAGAGAAATCATTGCGTGTGCGGAAATTCTGGAATATGTGAGTTGGGGAAAAGGAAGAAATGACAAGGAAAAGAGAAAGGGTAGAGGGGGTCCGGGGGTGCTGCTGTGACCCACTAACAGCTGCCCCTGCTGTTACGTAACAGCCTTTGGATGATTTCTAATCTGACGGTCAACAAAGCTAAACTAAAAAATACACTCTCTTTTAGTTTTTTCTTTTCATTTTTCTTTTTCTCTTTCTACCCACAATTATATTAGTCCAACAATGCAACCCCATCATCCGCACAGACTCCCATAATTCACTTTTTTTTTAACTTCAAAACCCCACCATCCCAAATTATTCTCTTCATTCCATTTTTTTCTTATTTCATTTTTAAATTTTGTTTCATTCTTTTTACTTTTTTATTTTTTCTCTCTTTTCAACTAACATATCTCTTCTTGGGTCATTGCAATAATCAATCAGTTCATGTAATAACTAAATCAGTAACGAAACTAACTAATGACTTAATTAATTTTCTCCCCATCCTCTTCAACACCCCCTTTCTCCTCCATAGTCTCAAGAGAAGGAAAAAAAAAGGCAGAAAACTCGTTGGGCTTTTGGATTCTGGAAAGTACATAGCGTTCATTTTGTACAAATTGTGTATATTTGTTTTTTTTTGTAAGAAAAAATTATTTCGATTGCTCTTTGTTTTGTAAAGTGAGTGTGTACATTGGCGACGAGCTCGCGTCCGTGAGAAGGTACCCCTTACTAATCTTGGGCTGTTTCGTCGGATCTTGAATTTGTTCTGGGGTTTTCAGTTTTTTGCTGGATTTTGGTGTTCATGTGTAATCTTGTTCTGTGTTCTCGTGGTGTTTGTCGAATTGCTTGTTTGAGCGAAATCCATTGCCTGATTCATTTTCCTGGGAAAAACTAAAAGAAAGTGTATTTTTTAATTTAGCTTAGTTGACCGTTAGATTAGAATTCATCCAAAGGCTATTAAGTAACAGCTGTGGCTGCTGTTAGTGGGTCACAGCAGCCCCCCTCTACCCGGCAAAATGACATGGCAAAACTGTAATTATATTAGGACATTTGTCAGTTGTTTAAGACCACTAAAAAAGGACACATGTCGCCCAATGAAGATATATAACTTATTGATATATAGGTAAGAGAGATATAAAATATAACAATTGTTTCTCGCAAAAGAAATCTATTTACTATATTCAGAATTTAATAAAGCAATTTATATATAAAGTGGCTTATTTTTTTTGGTACGAAATTTTACTAAGAATTCAAATTTTGGTATGAGGTACCTGGAATTTTTTTGGTATGAATTTTTCTTGGGATGCATTTGTTTTGGTATGCTTTGGTCTTCACTTGATTCCTTTTCTATTTTAAATTTAGAAAAATCCGTGTTTATTATCTTATATTTTCACTCTACTATATCCTTTCATTACACATTTTGGAGATTTCTTGATTTATATATATCTTCGTGTTCATATGTTACTGAAATTTATCTATCTTTCTAAAAAAAGATAGGTAAATTTTGGTTTGTGTATATCTTTCCAAAAGTTGATCTAATTTTATTTGGACAAATCAAAATATTCAACAATTAATTAAAAAATATTAATTTATATTTTTATAATAGTTTAACTGATTATATTATTGGTTAGTTAGTTTGATGTCGTATTTTATAATTTTTATTATTTAGATAATTTTACGCTACTGAAAAATAAATAAAATCTATTTATTAATGCGAAATACCTTGATTAAAAAATTCAAAGAGTTACAGTTAATTATTTACGAAATTGCATAGACATTAAAATCTATTTATTGATATATATCGTGAATGATAGAGATCATGTTTGTTAAATCTAAGACTGAAAATTAATTATGTCTTCATATGATTGTGAGAGAAAATTTAGAAAATTAAAATAGGTTAGAATTAAGCATATGTGATGATGGACCGAATAAAAAAAATAAATACAGGAGTAATTTATGTTAAAGCCGTTTGTGAAGATATAACATGAAACCAAATTATAAATATTATTTTACTCTTTTCATATTTTTATTGATTTACAATCTCAAAAAATATTTATATCTTTCAATTCATTCAAGGTTATGCATTTCATATCAAATATTTATAACGACTATGTAGATTTTTTCCTTTGAAATTTATCACTAGATATATCCTCTCTCTCTCTCTCTCTCTCTATATATATATATATATATATATATATAT